GGCCCCAACCCTATACCCTAACCATTAGGGGCAAGGGGCAACACGAAATCTCCCCTTCACAGAGAGAGGAAACTATGCTTGCAGGGGTCCCCTCTAGATAGTCTTAGGAGTAGGTAGTGGAAAGTAAACAAACAGAAGTTGAGAGAAGAGTATAGAAAAAAAAAAAAAAAAAAAAAGATCACCAACGGGCCTAGGCCTGTAGCAACACCGATGAACTGTTGAAATACGAATCAGACCCAAGTTCGAACCCAGATGCAACCAGTGGAACAGAACAAATTCATTTGTGGATTATTTGCGGCCGGTCAGTTCAATGATGATATCTCACCGCCCCTCTTTTTCCGTTGCTCTTTACATAATTTTGCAGAGAAACTGAGGCATTGACGCATGATTTGCCACTGAAGAGCCCTACTAGGCGTATGTGATGTTGGCCTAATGTGAACATAAGTAGACCACAAGATGGACTGAATGTCTCTCTGACAGGGGACCACAGGATGGACTGAATGTCTGTCTCCGACAGGGGTGAGTCTCTTATCTATCTACGCTTGATTGACATTCTGGGCGGTGGTGGAAGACTGTATTGTGTGCATATATTTGTATCGGATTCCCTACTTTATGGTATACTTCCATATTGGTAATGGAAAAAAAAAAAAAAAAAAAAAAAAGGGTAATGGATTGTTACCTGGCCATTCCCATTCATCCCCGGCCGATGAAAGGGGAGTGGACAGCTGAGATGGGAAGAAGGGTCATTTTGTAGGCGAAGAATAGTTCCTCTTTATTTCCAACTACTCTCTTCCTGGTTAGGCAGTGGAGCGTTTGTTTGCACACTACCGTCTTAGGGCACGCTCACACTGGGTACCAAAACCGTACGACTCCCAAAAAAATGTGCACACGGCTGGTCACACACAATGGTTCCGACCCCAAACACCCCATTCGCAAACCCATTTGTCAGCGGCCTGCCTGGCCGCGGATTTGAGGAATTTGCTGTAACCTCCAGAGGTTACCGCAAAATCCTTATTCTTTTTTTATTTAATTTTCGTAAATGAATGCAAAGTTGAAAAGGGAACATGTACGTTCTATATTTGGGGTTACTTCTGTGTGACTGGAAACCCCGAACAGCAGCACCCTGATGGCACGGTAGCGACGGTGTCTTTAGCGAAATGGGAACGCGGTGTGACGCAGTGTGACCTGAAACGTCCCAAATACCCCAATTCGGCCCAACCCATTTTCGCAATTTATACGGATTTGCTACCGCAGTGTGAGCGTGCCCGTAGCCCCGAACACAAAGCACCCTCATTTTGGCTGAACCTGACCGGAAATATAGGTTGTGTACGGTCATTATCAGGGTGCGTTACATTCGGGGGAAGACGGTAGGTCCTCATTCCTCTTCAGTCTCGTCCACCTTGCCCTCCTGGCAACTCCTGCTCATAAGCCACTACCTTCTTCACCTGAGTACAACGTACGGTCATTATATAGCTGTATTTTAATTTTAGACGGAAAGATACCCCAAATAGATCAATATTCGGGTGAAGAAGGTAGTTCCACAGTCCACTTCATTGTCTGAGATTTCCTGCACATTAAATTATTTCTCGATTTATGCCTGTCATCTTTGCGCAGGGGCCATGCTTAGCTTGTCCAGGTTCTCTGTATCGTTCCAATTTTAACGGATGTCCCGAAGGACCACATGAAATTATACAGAACCATGGGGTTGTGTGTTTGGTGTGATTTGTGTGAACGATGGTAACCCAATCATTGATCTCAATTGTTGCCCCCCCCCTTCTTGAAAGTAAGGGGCACCCCTTTCTGAAGTTGGGTTAACTTTTTCTTGTCTTTTTTTTTTTTT